GCCTCCCCGGGCAGGCTCCTCCCCTTTCAGGGCCGGGGGCGGGGAGGCAGCAGCACAAAGGGAAGAAGCGTCCGTCTCGCGCGCGCTCTGCACCCGCGGGAGGAATCTGTTGCTCCGGTGAGTCCCTCGCTCGCCCCGCTCCTCCCCTGCGGGATAAAAGCGGGGTGCAATGATGACCCAGCTCGGGCCCTCTCGCAGCCGGCCTCCCCTTCCTCGGGGCCCCCCGGATGCGTTGCACTACAACTCCCATTGTCCCCGGAGCGCTTGCCGCAGCTCCCCACGTGGCCGCGGCGCTCCCCGGCGCGCCCTCCCCCCTCCCAGCAACCTTCCTGCGATCGCGCTCCCGTTTTTTGCGCCGCAGCTGCTGCACCCGCTTTCCAGCGAGGCTCGTTTTCTTGCCTGCTGCGCCTCCATTTTAAAGCCCCTCCGCTCGGTTTTTTCCTCTCCCTGCCCTCCCTCCCCCCCCCCCGGCAAATCCAACGCCAGCAGAGAGTAAGTAGCGCCCTCGCTCCTAATTGTTTTGTTGGAGAGGGGGAGGGGGCCTTACGGGGCAAAACCCCCATTTTTAAAATGGGGGGACATCCCCCCCGGGATCCGCGGTCCTTTTGAATGAAGATTCCCCGCCCTTCCAAAATTGATACCTCTGTATGTAAGGAATGTGATGATTGCCCTGGATTTAGGACGGCTGAATCTGCAGGGAGGCTTTGCTGGGTAACGTGTTTTCTCGCCCTTGGAGGGCGAACATTTAAAAGAACCCTTCATGGGGGCATTCAGAGGTGAATCGAGCAGAGTCAGGGAGCTGCGATTCCTAGAAAGCAAAAACGGGGCCGGGGGGGGGGGGATCCTTCCTGCTTGTCTTTCTCCCACCTCCAATATTTTAATTGCCCCATGCAGGAAGATTGGCTAACATGAAATGCATTGGGAGGACAGTAAATGCAAAAATTGCAGCCAGAGATGGGTGGGAAACCGAGACATTAATTTTGCAGGAGTCTGAGTGGAAGCTGAAGGTGGAGAGCAGCCCCCAGGGTTGGAGCAACAGAGGGTGCTACTGCTGTTGTTCACCCAGTGGGCGAAAGACTGGAATGCACCCACGTGTGCCTGTCCCCAACGCAGGTCTTCTCCAGTTCTTCTTGAGTAGTTGGAACCATCTATCAGTTTTCAAGCTTGATGGCATATGGCCAGTGGCTTGGAAAAAAAAAGAGTTGGAAGGGAGATCTGACTTGGGTGTCTACTGTGGGAAACAGAGTCGCAGAGAGGAGGGTGGGTAAACCAAGAGACTATTGGAGCTGAATGAATGGGTTTCATTCCCCTGTATGCTGAAGGAGCTTCCCGCTGCAGTTGTTCATTCAAAGGAAGGTGACCTGGTGTGCTCCTGATACTCTGATTGATTGATTAGCTTATTTATTTATAACCTTCATGGACCATGTCATTCCAAGGGACTCCTTGGCCAGGGCTCACCAATCCCAGCCAGCATAGCAAGTGATTGTGGAAACTATAATTTCAAGCAATTCCATCCAAAGTTGACTGTCTCCATCTTTCTTAAGAAGACTGGGTTTGCATAACGTGATTAAGACTTGAGTTGTTTTAAGCATGGTTGAAGAAATAAATTGCAGCTGGCTAGGTTCACACAACAAACACTGGCATAACATTGCAGTCTACAAACCCCCAGGGAGAAACAAATCTGACTGGTCAATTTGCAAAATACCATTCAATCTTAGCAATGTAATTTTTCTTGCAAATCCTAGGGCTGAAGAGTTTCAGGCATCTGAGCCTCTGGAAGAAACCTGCCTGCCCAGCAACGTGATCCTCTGACTTGTTTTGGGTAAACTTAGGAGATGGAAGACCAAGACTTAGCTAGTCTTGAAGCTGGAAGAAGCCTTGATGTCCTTGATGTTGGAAATGGGGCAGAGTTCTGGGGGAAGAAGGTGCAGAAGATCTTGCGTGGGGTGCACACTTGCTGGGCAGAACAGCACAAGCGTTTCAGGGAGTTCTGTTACCAGGAAGCAGAGGGTCCCCGGGAAGTTTGGAGCCGTATCCATGACCTTTGCCACAAATGGCTGAAGCCCAAAAGGCATACAAAAGCTCAGATCCTGGACCTGGTGATCCTGGAGCAGTTCTTGAAAATCCTGCCCCCAGAGATGGGGAACTGGGTTCGAGAGTGTGGACCAGAGACCAGCTCAGAGGCAGTAGCCTTGGCAGAAGGGTTCCTTCTGAGTGAGATAGAGGGAGCGCAAGTAAGTACATTTTCTTCAGATGCCTAAATTGGGTATTTTTTTGGAAAGCAATCTGAAAAGTCCTTCTCAGGAAGTCATCCTTTTCTGGATTTTACCCAAGAAATAAATAGCCAAGTCCAGCATAGCAGAGGTCTTGGGCAAGTGGACATTCTCTGTTCACACATTATTACCATAAGGTGTGGTTTGCTTAACCACAGTTTATTGAATAAAGTGTGATGGCTTGGATCACACAACACACTAAGCTATCAAGCATATAATCTGTAGAAATGGTTGCCAGGTGCTCTTCTCAATCTCTAAAATAGTCCAAGGCATTTGCAAGCAAGAATAGAAATACTGTAAACTTTATGTGCTTGAATAACATTGATTACCAGCATTTCAGAAAAATTGTCAATTGGATCAATGTCTTGGCAAGAATCAGATAAACAAATTGGTGAAAAGAGGGGTCAAAGTGGACTGCTGAAATGTTGAAATTAAATAGAATATTGAAATATTAAATAAGACCTTATAGTGAGAAGGGCATTCTCATGTTAATACAGCTTATGCAGAGCACAAGTGAATTACAGCATTGTTTAAGATTTGGATCCAGAGCAGGCAATGTGTTTTGAATTGGTGTAAGTACCTTCCCTTTACCTGTCACCTCTTCCCTAAAGGAGCGACACCTTTTCCCGGACTCCCACAATCATTGGAGGTGGCAGTGGTATGACCACACCTTGCTGAACTGTCACCCCCTTCTTAAGTCAGGCACCCATTTTCCTGAGCCGGTATGGCTATCACATGAGCCCAAGAAAAGGTGTGGACTCGTGGCTTCCTTCAGATGCAAATACTGCA